TGAAGACATATATGTTTATGTATGGAATGACACTAATGTAAAGATGGCAATTCTGTTGAAATTAATCTATAAATTTTAATGCAATTTCAATAAAAATCCCAATAGAGTAGTTCAAGGAAATAATAAATTAAAAAAAAAAAAATCCCTTGACAGTGCAGAGTCCAAGAAAAGCTAAGCCAGTGTTGAAGAAGAGCAACGTGGGCTTGATCATCAAAACTGTGTGGTATGGGACAAGAATGGGTGGGCCAGTGAAAGAGAGAACACAGAGCCTAGAAACATCCGCGTAAGTCTTTTTTTTTTTTTTTTTTTTTTTTTTGAGATGGAGTCTTGCCTGTCGCCCAGGCTGGAGTGCAGTGGCATGATCTTGGCTCACTGCAACCTCCGCCTCCTGGGTTCAGGCGATTCTCCTGCCTCAGCCTCATGAGTAGCTGGGATTACAGGTGTGACCACCACGCCCAAAAATACAATAATTTTTGTATTTTTAGTACAGACAGGGTTTTGCCATGGTTTCACCATGTTGGTCAGGCTGGGCTTGGGCTACTGACCTTGTGATCCACCCGCCCCGGCCTCCCAAAGTGCTGGGATTATAGGCGTGAGCTACTGTGCCCGGTCCACAACTTATTTTCAAATAAAGCCCAATTAAATTTAAAAGACATGTCTCATGGTAGGAGATATTTCTACCTCACATAATCTACAAAGATACTATCCAGAATTCATCAAGATCTCCTATACAAGAAAAAGAAATATCCCAATGGAACAATGGGCAATGGACATGAGCCAGGAAATTGCAAAAGAGAGCAAAGTGGCCAACAAGAAAAGATGCTCAATCTTACCTCAATTGGCAAAATGCAGAGACAGATCATCCCCAATGGCTATTACATAGCAGTTAAACGAACTAGAGCTATAAATCCCCAAAACAATGTTGAGTGAAAATAAGCTGTAAGTTGGCACCATGTATGCCATATTTGAAACAGGTGAAAGCATGTGACTTCTTTTATTTTTTGAGACAGGGTCTCACTCTGTTGCCTATTCTGGAGTGCCATGGTGCCATGATAGCTCACTGCAGTCTCAAACTCCTGGGCTCTAGCAACCCTCCTGCCTCAGTCTCCTGCGTAGTAGGACCATGGGCATGTGCCATCATGTTCTGCTAATTTTTTGATTTTTTATAGGGATGGGATCTCACCATGTTGCCCAGGCTGGTTTCAAACTGCTCGGCTCAAGCAGCCCTCCCACAGCATGTTACACATTTTAAATAAATACTTGTCTATCTAGTGATGGCAACAGTACCATGCTTGGGAAAGAAACCCCAAGCTTTGGATAGCAGTTCCAGCACAGTTGTATACCAAGCCAACTTACACTGGCTTGCCTGAGCCAATTCTGCTCATCTCTTCTTAACTCCGTGTTCAGCGATGTTGTGTTAGTAACTTGAAATCTGCTGTGATGGGTGTTTATACCACAGAAATCAGCACAAATTCCAGATCCTAGCTTCCCCTTCCCCATGCTGGATAACTGGTTTACCAACACACCAGTGTGCCATTCTCCACAGAGCGGCATGTGACTAGGATGGGTATGTAAGTGGATTCAACATTATTTGAAATGCCTTTATGCATCCAACAAATTTTAAAGCAAATATAGCCCAAAGACAGGAGTAATATGATAAATGAGCCACACCCAACTCTTTCACAGAATGTCTTTCTGTGCTTTTCTGTATTTTGGAAATCTTTACTGAAAAAAGAGACCCAGTCAGTTGAATTTTTCAGGCCAGCATAATACCATTTCTTTATGCCCTCTCTAATTTTAGATTTAAGTCTTATCTAGTTGGCCACAATATTATTATATGATTTTGAAAAACTTGGACCTGAACTAATAGGAGCTGAAAGTTATTACTTCAAGCTCCAACCAAAGATTTGAAATTGATACACCCATTGATTGGTTGAATCCGGGAGGCGGAGGTTGTAACGAGCTGAGATTGCATCACTGCACTCTAGCCTGGGTGATACAGTGAAACTCTGCCTCAAAAAAAAAAAAAAAAAAAAAAAAAAAAAAAAAAAAAAAAAAAAAAGAAAAGAAAATAAAGAAAATAACAGAGACGTGATTGAGGAATATAAATCTCAGTCATCCAATTCCGCAGACTGGGATCCATTGCAAAGATCCCTTCTTGCTAACTTGTTCACTCATTCATTCATTTATTTCAGACAGAGTCTCACTCTGTTGCACAGGATAGAGTCACTTATTTATTTGAGACAGAGTCTCACTCTGTTGCCCAGGATGGAGTGCAGTGGTGCAATCTCGGCTCACTGCAACCTCTGCCTCCCGGGTTCAAGTGATTCTCCTGTCTCAGCCTTCCAAGTAGCTGGGATTACAGGCATGTGCCACAACATCCAGCTAATTTATTTTTGTATTTTCAATAGAGATGGGGTTTTGCCATGCTGGCCAGGCTGGTCTCAAACTCCTGACCTCAAGTGATCTGCCCACTTCGGCCTCTCAAGGTGCTGGGATTACAGGTGTGAGCCACCGGGCCTGGCCTCATTCTTATCTTTCTTTAAATTAGGAGACACATGAAGATTTAAACTCCAGGATTAAAAGCCCCTCCTGGAGTAAGCCACAACTTCATGAAACATGCCTGAGAAGCAGGGCTCTACTCTGGCAGGAGGGCACATGGCTAAATGCCTGGGGTTTGGAGTCAGAGAGGCTCAGATGATGCATATGAAGTAAAAATGCACCTAGTGCTCTATGGCCTCTGGTATGGAGCAAGCACTATAAATATGCCTTACCATCAACTCACAGCCAAACCACAGAAGACCTAGGCCAGGGGCCTCCCGGGACCTAGCCCTCTTGCCTTTTTCTAAGTCAGAAGGCATTAGTGGGCTCTGAAACTAGAAACTTCAGGGGCACACAGGATTTTATCATCAGCGACTGCGCCATGAGGGCCGGCTTTCACACCAGCACATTACAAGTAGTCTCTGGATTCTCTAACTCAGTTTTTATGCCCTTCCTCTATTTTCTGTTTAGTTTGTTTATTTTATCTAGACTGTGTATCTCAACCACGGCTGCACTTTCCAAACACTTGAGGACCTTTGCAAAGTTCTGATGTTCTGGCCTCACCTCGACCAACGAGTCAGAATTTCTGGAGGTAGGATCCAGTTTCCCAGGTGATTCCAGTGTATAGCCTGGGCTGAGAAACACTGATGCAACATTAACAGACTGTTTTTCGAAGTCTAACTGAGTCAAACAAAAAAAGTGCTGTTCTAACACTGATACTTCCTACACCCTAGGCTTTCAGAATGAAAGGATAAGGCGTTTCAAATCAAGGAACATGTCTCCCAGAGGCCAGGCTTGTGCGAGGTGTTGGGATTCAAGGTTGGCCAAGGAGACGTGAAGCCTGCCTTCAAGGAGCTCACATTTAGCAATTTTGGTAAGCCGAGATGGGTAGGACTGAGCTTGCATTTACAGCTGAGTCACAGAATGACAGGGCATTGCAGAATGTGATGACGGGAATTCGCCATCACATAATCAAGAGCATCACTAGCGTATATTTTGGTATTTCCTCTGTGCTGGCACTTTCAGTTTATCAGGTCATGGGAGCTTCACCACAACCACAGGAGGGAGATTTTCCTACTATTTCCATTCCTTCCTTCAATAAACATTTGGATACCTCCTGTGGGCCAGACACCATTTCAGACATTTGGACGGTAAAAGAACAGACTCCTGTCCTTATGGCACAAGTGTTTTGTGAGTCAGGGTGGAGAGGAAAGAAACAACAGGCACAATGTAAACGTCAATCAGATAGCCCGTTAGAAATTGATGAGCGCCATGAGAAAAAGGAAAAGTGGAGGGGGTAAGGTATGTGTGGAGACTCAGGGAGCCTCAGTGAGAAGAAGGATTTGAGCAAAGACTTGACATACCGGAGTTAGTTCATTTCATTCCATTTGCAGATTCACCCAACACATACAGGTGGCTTTGCTGGGATGCAAACTCACATAGGTTGAACACCAGCTTCTGTGCCCTTAACCAGCCTACTAACTTGTCCATCCATCCTTCTGTCCATCTGTCCTTCCTTCCCTCTTTCTTTCTCCCCTTTCTCCCCTCTTCCTTCCTTTTCTTTTCTTTCTCTCTGTCTTTCTCTCTCTCCCCCTCCTTTCCCCTCTCTCTCTGTCTCTTTCTTTCTTTGATGAAGTCTAGCTCTATCACCCTGGCTAGACAAATTGCAGTGGTGTAATCTTGGCTCACTGCAACTTCCACCTCATGGGTTCAAGCGATTCTCCTGTCTCAGCCTCCTGAGTAACTGGGATTACAGGTGTACGCCACCACACCTGGCTAATTTTTATATTTTTAGTAGAGATGGGGTTTCACCATATTGTCCAGACTGGTCTTGAACTCCTAACCTCAGGTGATCTGCCCATGTCGGCCTCCCAAAGTGCTGGAATTAAAGGTGTGAGCCACTATGTACCCCCTGAGTTTTCTTTCAAGAAGCATTAATATAATAACTTATTTATTCACCGTCTTGTTTGCTATTATAATTTTCTAGCCTAGTATCTGCTACATACTTACATTTTTAATTAACTGATTGAAATTATCAATTCAATTGAATTAATATGTCATGATTTGAAGTATGTATTGTGTTTACTGCATCCAGCCCACTCCCCAGGTAGAAGAAAAGTTATAGAAAATGCAGTGTAGCTGGGGATCCTGGAGACTGAGCAAGTGTGTATTCTTAGGTGTCCTGTTCACGTCATGTTGCAGAAGAAAAGATGTCACTGCCCTGCCAGGGCAAATAGGTTTCTTCTGAGCCAGGAGGAGGGAGACAGAAAATATGGAATACACGTGAGACACATAAGGAAATAAAGATGCTTCTAAGTAGAAAGCTTCATGGCACAAAAGCCCACAAAAATGTATGAGGCTGAGTCAGGGGTTACAGGTAAAGTTTTCTTAGGCTGCATTCATTTGAGAAATTTTTATAATGTTTCTATGTAAGAATGATCTTTTGAATATTAACTTACCTATTGAAGCGGTAGATATCCTGTATGTTTCCAAAAAGGGCTGATCTTTCTTCGGTCCCCATGAGAAGTTTTGTTTGGTCCCTGATGCAGTCAAGGTAATCCTATGAGATCAATGAGAAGGATGCCTTAAACACTCCTGTCCTTTCCAAGTCATCTTTAATTATGCCTACTGAATCTTTAATATCTGTTTCGAGTCATTATTATGCTAATGTGCTCATTAACTCTGAGAGCACACAGTTGCTCTCTTATTACTGGCCCTAATACTCACCTATTTATAGAATGAAGAGTTTTAGCAAAGAGAAAGCATGTAGCATACATTCCTTGTTTGTTTGTTTTTGAGATGGAGTCTCGCTCTGTTGCCTGGCTGGAGTGCAATGGCACAATCTCAGCTCACTGCGACCTCCACTTCCCAGGTTCAAACGATTCTCCTGCCTCAGCCTCCCGAGTAGCTGGGATTTACAGGCTGTGCCACCACGCCCAGCTTATTTGAATTTTCAGTAGAGGTGGGGTTTCACCATGTTGGTCAGGCTGGTCTCGAATTCCTGACCTGGTGATCTACCTGTCCCAAAGTGCTGGTTAGGCATGAGCCACCACGCCCGGCCTGAGTATGGTACACATTCTATCTACCTCCAAAATATATTAGAGCTTCCCTAGATGGGTGCCACAATGACCACCGTGCCAATTCTGTCCGTTTTGGCATAACCACATTGTCCGCTGCTTCCTTGACTGATGTGTATGATAAAAACATACTTTAAAATTCATATAGTGAAAAACCAGAAATAAAAATTCTGAACTGAAAGAACTGTTTTAAACATAACCTCTGGGTCACAAAACTATCTGTTGTTAAATTATAGAACCAAATTCTTTTTTCAAATATCAACTTACTTTTTTTAAGTGAAAAAAATAAGTGTATAACTTACTTTTTTGCTCTCTGCTATGCTGTTAATGAGCCCAAAAACTCTCAATTGATTTTGTATGTTTTAACACAGAAACAGCTCCCACACAAATCTGCTGTGGATTCAGACCCGTAATGGGTTAAACTGATGTGGCTAAGAAGCAATTTGAACTGCTGAGAAAGAGGAAGGCCGCTTTCTGCCCCTTGTGTGCTAAAGAGTTCATAACTGAGTGTTCCCTTTTCCCTAGCAAGACTTGAAAAAGGATTCTGTAGGAGGCAAGAAAACAATAAAGAAAAAAGTGAAAACAGCTGAAATAACGTAAAATAAAAAATAAATACAGTCCTTGCCCGAGGCTGAACAATGAAGTATGGCTCCCTCCCAAACGTAACATGGTGATCTGCAGCATTTAGAGGAAGTAACCTTGTGAAAAGTCAACCAGACCATGAAAATCCCAGCACACAGCCACATTCCAATGTCCCACAGCAAACACAGTCGTATTTAGATGCGGCTAGAGAAAGGAGAAGCTGAAATGTCAGAACCATCAGCTAATTGTTTCTTACACCTTCTAGTAGTCCACCTTCATTCTCTCATGTTCTTTAGGTTCCTCCAATGCAAAACAGGCAGGGCTTTCATCGTAAACTTTCTCAAGTAGCACATTTCACAGTTTGCATCAAATCAGGTTTCATTCTAGTTCTTTCATGCTAAAATCACTGTCACGCATGAACCAATGTTCATAAACCCTTTTCAAAACAAGCTTGTGGTAACAGCTTTTCTTGAGAAAGTAGTCACCTCAGTAAGAAACTAGATTCAAAAAGTTTAAGAGTAGTTGGCATTAAAATCCCCAAACAGCTTGGCCTGTTCCCCTTACTGTTATAAATGGAACAATCATAAGAGCTTGAGTACCTGCATAGGATAGACAGGCCCAAATAAGAAAAACAAAAGGAGCCCAGAACTGCAAGAATGGTACACTGTGAACAACACATAAAACCTATACTCCCGCAAAAATAAATAAATATTCATCGAGATTTCTGTTAAATTACACAGGTGCAAAGGGATGGACTGACAACGTGGAGTGAATGCTTGTATTTAACAGCAGCTTAAGAGTTTGCTGGACATTTTGGCATACTGTATACAAAATTAAGAAGGTGAAACAGGAGGATGTGGATGGGCACTAGCCACACCAATGTGGCAGGATGAGGGGCAGGCAGAGGTGACAGATGCAAGCCACAACATTTACCTGGCTGACTTCAGAGGCTCCGCAGTGGGGCTTAAAGGGAGAATGAACAACCCTTTCTCTCACTTCAAGTGTGAAGCTTGCTCATTTGCAGAAACTTGATACTAAATTCTTCATGTGAGAGAAAGATTGAGTAAAGGGGCTTAAAGAATTTCATTTGGGGTTAGAGACAAAGAACCATGGCCTGCATCCAACAACTGATGGCCCCTCTCCAGCTCTAAGAGTTTCAAAAATCTCTGACTCTACAGTAGAGAAACTAAATTTTAAAAGTTGCTTGTTTTCAGAAATTATTGAGAAAACAGATCGTGAGGAGTCCACATTTTTGTGGGCCACTCTAGAAAACAGATCAAAGTTGTATGGTCATAACTTGCTCCCCCCACTGATCAGAAGAAAGTCTTTTAAATTTGATACTTTAAACCTAGACTATTTCCTGAAAACTACTGTGGCATGCCCTGCATTTGCAGCTGTAATCATCTGTAGCCAAAATGAGTGGTTCGAAGCTCAGTGATAATAACAGTTCATCCTGTGCTATAAATGACAGAGTAAGGACACCAACAAAATTTATTAGAGCCTGTCATTCTGCTTATTAATTTTATTGGCTTTTATGTAAACACCTGTGGTTACCCTACTGTTAACGGCTATGAAGCATCAATTTAAAACTTTTGCACTGAGGCCAGGCACGGTGGCTCACATCTGTAATCCCAGCACTTTGGGAGGCCGAGGCGGATGGATCATGAGGTCAGGAGTTCAAGACCAGGCTGGCCAACATGGTGAAACTCCGTTATCTACTAAAAAATACAAAATTATCTGGGCATTGGTGGCTCGTGCCTGTAATCCCAGTTACTTGGGAGGCTGAGGTAGGAGAATTGCTCGAACCAGGAACCCAGGAGGTGGAGGTTGCAGTAAGCCGAGATCACGCCACTGCACTACAGCCTGGGCTACAGTGTGAGAGAGACTCCATTTCAAAAAACAAAAACAAAAACAAAAACAAAACACTTTTGCACTGAAAACAATTACTCTGCAAGAGGATCAATGAATTTACTCTACTTTGGTGAGGGAAGGAGCAGAGAGTTAACACACAAAGGGGCTTTTTACCATTTGAATGATTTTCTGTGATTTAAAATTTCCCCCATTTATTTTCTCATCAGTTTATGTCCTTAAGATCTCTACCATTGTAAGATTTGCACACGAGGGTCCTCCTCTAACTTCTTCATTCCTTGTAATGTCTGTTATTGAAATATCCAAGCAGATATTGAATCTGAGTTAGTTCTATTCAAAGTATGGGAGGTGGCAGGAGCCGATTTGCAAACTGTTTGCTGCTGATCTACACGGAGAGAAGTACAGACATCAGGTGAGCACGTAGAACTCTTTACAGTAGTTTACCGAATGATTTAATATCTGTTGAACCTAATAATAAATTTGTGCTTGTATTTTATATATCTTACTCTTCCTCTAACTTTTCCAGTATTCGTTTTATAAAGTGTATTTTACAAAAGAATTGGGAGTGACAGACGGAAAGAAAACACACACACCTGCCCCTCACCATGGACAGTTTGCAAAGCTCTGATCTACATAACCATCCAGAAGCGACATGCTGTAGAAAGAACTGAGACAGAAGGCAAATTCAGCGCCGTTGGGAGCTTACCTTATTTCTGAGATCCCAGAAATACTTTAGTTAATGGCTCCTTCACTTCCCTTTTTCCTCTGATATCACATTAAAATGCTTTTTTGCTTGTTTGTTTTTTGAGAGTAAGTCTTGCTCTGTCACCCCGGCTGGAGGGCAGTGGCACAATCTCGGCTCACTACAACCTCCAACTCCCAAGTTCAAGCAATTCTCCTGCCTCAGCCTCCCAAGTAGCTGGGATTACAGGTGTGTGCCACCATGCCCAGTTTATTTTTGTATTTTTAGTAG